AAAGAATCGCTGTCACAACGACACTTCTGGCATGGAGCACGCAATCAGGAAGAGACGTCAACAACGGTGCGACCAATGATCGAAGGCAAAACGCATACATTCGAGAGTCACCTCAACGGCACTGGCTTTGCGAAATTCATCGTGAAGCTACCCAACTTGGATGAGATTGAGGATTATCAACATTACTACGAAATAACTGCAGAGTATATTGATGAGACGCGCAAGATATCGAACTCCTATCAATATCGCGAACCCAAAAATGTGGTGCCGCAACCAGAAGAGAAAGAACCAACCGAATGGTTTAAGCTACTCATCAATTATCCATCGACCAAATACTCGTAAGTATTGGCATGCCTTTGTTCGGCGTGAGAAACGATTTCACAACATCTTTCATTATTTTTCTGAATTTGCCGATTACAGCATTAACTCCTCTGATATTGTAACAATAACTGTCAACTCGAGCGAACCCTTGCCATATCTCGTTTATGATGTCATTGGACGTGGTAATATTGTAGAACATCAACGAGTGGTTCTACCAGAGAATACCAAGATCTATAATATCACATTACCCTACAAATACATATATGCGCCCTTCGCAAGAGTTTTCGTTTACTATGTTGACGAACATGGTGAATTTCACCATGCGGAGACCTCGTTCCAAGCTGAAATGGAGTTACAAAATTCGGTAAGTACAATATATGCCTTTAATCGTGAAAAGTCTTCAAACTGAGTCTTTATTCACTGTTACCGCTCAACAGATTGATATTACCACACCGAGTGAAGTAAAACCTGGCGAGACTGTACCACTGCATATTAAAACGGCACCACATTCGTTCGTCGGCCTCCTGGCTGTTGATCAGAGTGTCTTGCTACTCGCTGGTAATAACGACATCTCCGAAAATGAATTTAGATGGCGTGTTGGTAGCTATGACACTAGCACACCATGGCAAGGAGGCTACTCGCACTATCCCGGCGAATATACGGGCGTGGTGACACTCACTTCCGCAGATTACTTCTACAATTGGACCAAGCCCGTTCGTTGTGAGTTGAACGTTTAAAATAAATATAATTTGAAAACGAATAACAACTCCATTTTGCCATCTTTTTAATTGATCCCTTAGCATATGCGACACCCTTCAGTGCTCGTGGTGATATACTGAAGAGTTTTAATAAAGTTAATGACGCTCCTGTAACTACCATTGCTCCAGAGGCTGGCGTCGGTGGTGCTATTGGTTTTGCTCAATCTGATTCCCCCGCAGCACCGCCAGCGCAACAACCAACAGTTCGAAAAGATTTTCGTGAAACTTGGCTATTCAAGGATTTCGAAGAGTAAGTTTCACACACTATGTAATCTTGAAATTAATCTTCAAATAAATCTGTTAATGTTGCCTCTCTCTCTACGCAGCACACAAGCAGAAGAGTTTGATTGGACTGATAAAATACCAGAAACCATTACATCATGGGTGCTCACAGCTTTTGCCGTAAATCCCGAAAAAGGACTTGCAGTAATGAAGGACTCCAAAAACATAAAAACATTCCAGTCATTCTTCTTATCGCCGCGCCTTCCCTACTCTGTGAAACGAGGTATTTTTATTTAATGTTTTTGCAAACACTCCATATATAATATTAATGAAATTATGCACTCTTCAGGCGAGGTCGTCAACACACAGCTCTTGATTTTCAACTACTTGGATAAAGCTTTAGACGTTGCTGTCACACTTGATAACACCGACGGTGAATACGAGTTCACCGATGTCTCCAATGAGGTTATCAACGAAGCGAGCCGTGTGAAAAATGTACGCGTAGCCGCTCAATCTTCAGCTGGTGTTTCCTTCATGATACGTCCCAAAGTAATTGGCAATATATTATTGAAATATACCGCCGTCTCACCGATTGCCGGCGATGCCATACATAAAGCGCTAAAAGTTGTGCCTGAAGGTGTAACCGAGTATGCAAATCGTGCATACTTCGTAAATCTGAAAGATACGCCCGAGTTCAAGCAGTCTTTCGAACTGGAATTACCACAAGATCTGGTGCCCGACTCTGAACATATAGAAGTCTCGGCTATAGGCGATATTTTGGGACCACTTTTGAATAATATGGATCATTTGGTGCGCCTACCAACCGGTTGTGCTGAGCAGACCACGTCATCATTTGTGCCTAACTTCATTGTCTTGGAATATTTAAATGTAAGTGTAAAGGTTGAAGTCGGTAATATATTTTATTGACCATTCTTTCTTTGTGCAGCAAACGAACAAACTAACGCCAGCGTTAGAATCACAAATACAAAGTAATCTCCTCTCTGGTTACCAACACATTCTAAACTTCCGTTTAGATGACGGTTCATTCAGCTCTTTCGTCAGTTATCGACACACAGAATACCCCGTCAATGGCTCCACGTGGTTAACGGCATACATTGTGCGTTCGCTTAACCAAGCTAAAGAACATATAAAGGTCGACGAAAATGTGCTGAAAGAAGGATTGAAGTACTTAGTTAGCAAGCAAGCCGACAACGGAAGTTTCTTGGAGAGCAACGATTTCTTCTTCGGTTCTTACAGAAGACCTTTGACTCTTACAGCCAGCGTATTACTCACTCTGGTTGAGGCTGGGGTATATATTTGTAGCTTTTACATATGAACCTAAATATTTACAATGTTTTTCTTAACAGGAACTCGCTAAACCATATGAAGCGGAGATCGAGAAGGGTTTCAAATATATTTTGGAGAATGTCGACAAAGAACAAGATCTCCATGTTAAGGCAATAACTACATATGCGCTTAATAAGATCGGTAGTCCCGCCGCAGCCACGCAACTAGAAGAACTCAAAACGCTGGCAAAGACTGACGATGATCGTAAATGGTGGACGAACAAAAAGGAAAAACCAAACAAACTATGGTGGCGTTGGGCTTTCAGCAACGATGTAGAGATCACGTCTTATGTTTTGCTGACGCTGTTCGAAACTGGCAAAACGACGGTGGATGAAGTTTTACCCGTTATACGTTGGTTGGTGGCGCAGCGTAACAGTTATGGTGGCTTCTCCTCCACACAAGATACAGTACTGGGGCTACGTGCTTTGATCAAGTTCGCCGACTTTGCGGACTATGAAGCAGCCAATATGGACTTGGATGTGAGCGGCAAGGGAGATAGGGAAAAGAGAGAAACAATTCACATGACACAAGAAAACGGTTTGCTGACCCAAACTGTTGAGGTAGGCAAATAGTAGACGCAATAGAAAAAATCATAAGTGCCAATTTTTCCTATTTGCTATATAGCTCCCACAGAAAACAATATCCGTGGACTTGAGCGCTAAGGGCACCGGTGCTGCTTTGGTACAAATTGCCTATCAATACAATGTATTCGAGAAGGAAAAGCTGCCAGCTTTCAAGATCGACACAGTCATCAATAAAGAGGCGCCTGCTTTTAAGTTGGATATGGAGGTGTGTGCGCAATATATTGGCGAAGGAGAGGCTTCAAATATGGCGCTCTTAGAGGTATCACTACCCTCCGGTTTTGTTATAGATGAAGAGAGCTTCAGCCAAATTGAGGCCGTTAACCGTGTGAGGGTAAGTTTATCAAACCTATTCGCACAATTTGTGAACTGAATAATTAATTTTATATTGACTATTCACAACAGCAAGTAGAGAGCAAACGAGAGGGCACTTTAGTTATAGTATACTTTGAGAGCCTGGCCAAGAATGAAGCATCATGTGTGCCGATTGAGGCGCTAAAACAACATGCTGTCGCGAACCAAAAACCAAGTCCAGTTGTTTTATATGACTATTACGACACAACGCAGAAAGTCACTGACTACTACACCTTGTCTTCGAAAGTTTGTGATATTTGCGAGGATGATGAGGAGTGCAAGAAAGCGTGCGCGGCTCTTGCCTAAATTAATTGTATTGTACATATTATATATAACGGTGTTTTGATAATTTCCAAAATTTTATTATTAATAAAAAATGTAAATAATTTAAAAATGTAAATCTATATTTTCCTAACATGGTTTTTGATTTGGTGTTTGGTTTTAGAAAATACTTAGATTCGATTAGGTGTAAAATTTAAGCCACTAGTTTTATACAGCAATTTAAGGTTTACTGGCTGCTTTTATGTAGCTGAACCAAAGGCGACGTTTTAAGCTTCTTTACGAAAACCATTAGTTGGCGAACAACTATAATTTTGACCAGTATACTTAAAATATTGTTTTCTTGTGAGCAATGAATATTGCAAGACTTGATCTTAGGCCAGTCTTCAGACTGTTAAAGCGGTAGTTTTTCTAATACAGTTGACAAAGTATTTCCGATGCAAATTGAAGACTCAAAAGGCGAAGTCTATCAGTTTCATCTAAGGTCTTTAAGAGCTATCACCGTGTTAACAATCGACTATGACTTGTTATGAACTTAAGAAACACTTATGGCCAATTAACATCGAACTTTTGCTTCGTTTTGCGTCAGACATTTGTTTTGACAAAAAAATCCGATCTACGTTTTTGTATGAGTACGTGCACATCAAAAGTTTTCGACGCGACGCCACACAAAATGTTGGGCAACTCTCATCTTTTTACGCTTTGCCAAGCAACAGTCGCCATTTTTACTAGAGAGAAACACTGAAAGCAACGCGTTCACTGTAGCATACACTTTGTTTGCTTCGCTTCGTTATGTCAGTATGAACTGTCAAGTAAAGCGAGGAAGGTTGTATGTGAAGGGGCCTTTAGCCCCTCTAGCAATCCACTCATTAGTAAACAACTATAATTCAATTTGTTTACATTGTCTATTCTTATCAGTTTATATTGAATCTAGTCGGAGCAGCGAAACAAAAGAGCGAGAGTGAGAGCGAGAGCAGTTAAACATTGTTGATTAAAAGCAGAACAATGCAACTAGAATTTCTTTAAAACGGCTTTGCTTGAGACAAACTCAAGAGAAATTTTTCTTAAGAACAAATCGTTGCTCCAACAACAAGCATCTAGCGAGTCAACAATGACCGCTGCTTTCTTTGGGCATTTTGCAATCGCGTTTAGTCACAGACGAGCTGTGTTTTGGTGCGTTTTACTGCACGCATTGATCGGAAACTAAGAATTTCCAGTGTTTAAAAACTGCTTAAGTTTTTTTGAATTGAGCAGCAGGTGTTTGTTTGTGCAAATTTTCCGGTTTTGTGCGATTTTTATATATCTGCACCGCCATTGTAATGCGGCGACGCTTAGGGCTTCTAATATTAGCCATCTTGCAAATCATCTGCACGGCAAACGCAATTGGGTAAGTAAAGCGTTTTGTTTGATTTATAAGTTGATTGTGCAATTATTGATAAACTACAATATATACAAACAAAGAAAAAATTGTGATAAAGAAAAGTTCCTTTAAATTATCTTAAAGCTCTCTAGAAGATGTAACTTCAGTCTCGAAGCACCAAATGTTGTTTTCACAGTTCATTGACCTCGGTTACTTTAAGTAAGATTAAGCTTTTTAGTCCTTACAAAAGTCAGATTCCAAAGTGACTCACTGAGATAGTTCTATTTCTGTAAGAAACCAAAATCTAAGCCAATAAATTGTATTACAAACAGTTTCTGAGGCTCTTATATCGAATTTATAGAGTCTCTCAAACTCCAAAATAAAGAGAGAGTGGATAAAATTGATTCTGAAATCGTAAGGAAGTAAAGTGAAGATTGGATCTGGTAAGCCTCAATCCCACAAATGCTGAGCTGATTCTGATTTTTGTGTTCCATGTTATTGGATACTACAAGTTCTAATTTCTTTTGGCCGATTGAAGAATGCCACCTTTTTTTTAATTTTCAGAACCACTAATTAAATTAACTAAATATTAAAGTGTGTATATGCACCTATAAACCAACAGGAAACTCGCATCAGTAATTTGCTCAAGCGCAACTAATCTATTAAAAAATTATATATAAACATACCTATTCTCTACACCAATCAATTCATTGACCTGCCGATATTTTGATTCTTTTCTTTTCTTTTTGCAATCAAAAACAAATAAAACACTCATTTCTCTCACTCATTCACCTTACACATACTCTCTCAATGTGATCTCACTCTTTTACAGCCACTACACAGTAGTCGCACCGGGTACAATACATACGAACGGCAAATACAATGTTGCAGTCGCTCTGCATCAAGCCACCGAGGCGGCAAGAGTGAGAATCTCTCTCCTAGGTCCACAATATAACGACTCCAAAACCGTTGAGCTGCAACCGTACGAAGTGAAGAATATCGCCTTCAGTGTGCCACTTTTGCGTGATGGCGACTACAATATCACCGCTGAGGGCTTGAGTGGTCTGATCTTCAAGAACTCCACCAAGCTCAACCACAATGTCTTTCAGACACATGTAAAGATACAAACCGATAAAGGAAAGTATAAACCAGGCGATGTCGTCAACTTTCGCGTACTTTTTATGGATGAAAATTTGAAACCAAGTGGTCCTTCGGCAAGTAGTGTTATTTGGTTTGAGGCAAGTGTCATAGGATTGTCAAATGTTTAATTATTTTAAATGATATCTTTTCACTTTAGGATGGTAAGCGCAATCGCATTAAAGAATATAAAAACTTTACGGTCACCAAGGGTGTCTACACGGGTAAATTCCAAATATCTGAATTTCCCGTTCACGGTAGGTGGCGCTTGGCTGTAGATAACGGTGGTTGGCGTAGAACCATTGTCAGCTTCGACGTACAGAAATATGTATTACCCAAATATAAGGTCAGCGTTGATGCCACTTCCAAAGTGTCGGCGAAGGATGGCGATATGCAGGTGGTCGTCAGAGCCAAGTGAGTATATGGTAGATATATCTATATAGTTTCAGTTTAGTTTAGCGCTTCGGATTTTTATGAGTCATACTTTCGCTTTATTCTACACGAATATTAATCACCCAATAAAAAAATGTTTGCCTACTTATCGCAACGTTCCTCCAGCTATACCTACGGCAAACCGGTTAACGGAAAGGTCACATTGATTATGAAGCTGCAGTCTTTTTACTATTCACACGAAACCAACGACAATTCAACAGAGCCACCACAGCAAATAATAAGGTCGGCGGATATGGTGAATGGTAAAGCGAAGTTCGACCTCAACGTGAGGCAATACAAAGACAGCTTCCTTAGCTTCAGGACCGCACCGCTTGACATAACAGCGACGGTGGAGGAGAATTTTACCGGTGTCAAAATTAACGGTACAACCGGAGCAACACTCTATCGGGACCGTTATTTTATAAGTTGTCAAGTGTTTAAAAATTGTAACTGGTTTATAGCAGATGAAGAAACGGAAATGACATTCCGTGTCTTGAGCTACGATGATGCAATATTAAGAGATATCAATGCTCCCGTGCGTTTACGTTTTACCGAATCGCTAAGTAAAAACTACTATAAGGATGAAAATAAAACCGAACCCAAAATAAATAACCAAGTTTTCGAGTTTGAAGGCGTATTGGATATCAATAGCACAGCGGTGTTTAAAGTAAAGTTGCCGGCTCTAGAAAAGTTTGATGGCTACACCCATTTCTATAAAATAAAAGCATTTTACAAGGATGAGGTGCATGATGTAATGAACATATATCAAAAGGAGCCACCAAAAGTTACGGACGACGTAAAGGCAGTTGAGCCTACAACGCCGAAGTCGTTCTTTAAGGCACAGCTGGAGTATCCAAAGGGACGTTCTACGTAAGTAATAAATATATAAAACGAAGCTAAGATTTTTATGTTACGATTTTTGTTGCGTCATTGCAGTTTTAACGCGGATGAAGAAATTATCCTGACTCTGAACTCCAGTGCGCCCCTAACGTATTTTGACTACAATATCGTGGGTCGTGGAAATGTTTTGGTTAGCGAACGCGTTTTCGTGCCTAATAAAGCCAATAGCTACGATTTAACATTGACGCCTAATTTCATGTGGATGCCTTACGCCCGATTCTACGGCTACTTTATTGATGAACTGGGTGAATTTCACTATGCCGAGACGAGTTTACAAATTAAGACGGAAATGCAAAATGAGGTTCGATTACTATGCACGAATTTTAGCTATCTTTTAATTATTACTTAATCATTACTATTTTCTTTCACTCTTCCACTTACTATCGACGTCTCAATTTCTTGCTGTTCCACTTCTTAGTTAGAGATTACTGCCCCAGCTAAGGTGAAACCCGGCACAGATGTCGCTCTGCGCATCAAAACCACTCCACATTCCTTCGTTGGTCTACTCGCTATTGATCAAAGCGTACTCCTTTTGGGTCGTAACAATGATATCTCCCAAAATGATTTTAACTGGCGTCTTAGCTCCTATACAACCTATACACCTTGGCAGGGTGGTTACTCGCGCTACCCGGGTGGACAAAGTGGTGTCATAACAATGACTAATGGCAACTATTTCTACAACTTCACAGCACCACACACATCAGCAGGTAACTGTAAACTTTCACAGCATATGTTGAAACTTTAAAATGACTTTTATTAAATCCGTAGTTGACAACCGTTTCGAAGACCTGACGGCTCTACGCGTACCAGAGGGTGCTGTGTCACTCGCTGCAAAGCCCGTCGGGGGAGTAATGGCAGCAAGCCAGGAAGTTGTGGTGCGCACAGATTTTGCAGAAACGTGGATTTTTACGGATATTGAAGAGTAAGTTTGCGCGTTTGGATTCCTAATTTACACCAATATTTTGAGTTTTGTCTTTAAAGCACGCAAACGGAGGAAATCACTTGGACCAAGAAAATCCCAGACACTATCACTTCTTGGGTGGTCTCAGGTTTCGCCCTTCATCCAGAAAAAGGACTTGGTGTTACAAAGCACAGCACTGATATTGTCACATTTCAGCCGTTCTTTATATCAGTGAGGTTGCCCTATTCGGTCAAGCGAGGTGAGTTAACGGTTACTCAAACAATTTTTTGCGACTGTGTTTTTCCCAAAAGTTTATATTTAGTTATAAGAAAAGAATATCAGATTTTGAAAATTATAGTTATTAGGAGTGTTTGAATTATGGGCTTTGTATGTCCCAACCAAAAAAGTTCTGTTAAGCTCAAAATGTTTAATCTAATACTTGTATTCCTTATAGGCGAGATCATCAATGTGCCGGCTTTAGTTTTCAACTATCTGGACAAAGCATTGGATGTCGAAATCACACTCGACAATATCGATGGCGAATATGAGTTCACCGAAATCTCCAACGAGATTTCTAGCGAAGCGAAACGAGTAAAACTTGTTCACATACCCGCACAGTCCTCAGCTGGAGTCGCATTCATGCTACGTCCCAAAATCATAGGCAATATAATGTTGAAGTACACTGCTGTCTCACCCCTCGCTGGTGATGCAGTACACAAAATGCTGAGAGTAGTACCCGAGGGCGTGACGGAGTATGCAAATCGCGCATTCCTTGTGAATCTCAAGAAAGCGCCGGAACAACGACAGAACTTCGATTTAGTGCTGCCACCTGACTTAGTGCCTAATTCGGAACATATAGAAGTGTCTGTGATCGGTGACTTACTGGGACCACTTTTGAATAATCTCGAGCACTTATTGCGCATGCCAACCGGCTGTGCCGAGCAGACCATGTCGACATTGATACCCAATTATTTGGTTTTGAAATACCTTAAGGTAAGTAATGCTTTTACTTTAAGAGGAGTCTTTACACTAATTTTTCTATCTCCTCTCAGAACATCAACAAGCTTACGCCAGAATTGGAAGTGAAGATACTTCAAAATATGGAAATGGGTTATCAACGCATGCTTGGCTTTCGCCTTAATGATGGCTCGTTTGTCACATTCCGCGCTAAGGACAGAAATGAGAACGGTTCCGTCTGGCTCACCGCATATGTGGCGCGTTCGTTACATCAGCTCCAAGAGTTTATAAAAGTAGACGATGCTATACTCGAAAAGAGCTTGCAATATCTAATTAAGAGACAAGCAGAAAATGGCAGTTTTGTGGACACAAACAACGTACTCTTCGGAGCAGAACGTCAGCAAGACGTGACATTGACAGCACACGTTTTCCTGACGCTCATAGAAAATAAGGTATGGCCTCTATTACAAAAAAAAAAAAAAATTATTTGTAAACTAAACTGCTTCTAATGCATAGCAACTCACCAAGGAATATCAAGCCAATGTCGACAAAGCCTTCGATTTTATTTTGGCGAACACCGAGAAGTCTGCCAGTATATTCGCTAAGGCTTTGACCGCATACGCCTTACAGTTAGCTAAACATCCATCAGCTAGTAAGCAACTTGAAATACTAAAATCAGCTGCGAAGACTGCTGACGATCGCATGTGGTGGTCGGCTTCGGAACACCGTTCGCAGCATTGGTGGCGTTGGATACCTAATGGAGACGTTGAGACCACTTCCTATGCGCTTCTAACGTTACTTGATGGAGACCTTGTCGGCGTTGATGATTTATTGTCAATTGTAAAATGGTTGGTAGCCCATCGGAATAGCTATGGTGGGTTCATATCCACCCAAGACACTGTTGTCGGCCTACAAGCTTTAATTCGTTTCGCCGAAAAAGCACAATATGAGCCTGGTGTAATGGATGTTCAGGTGCTTGCTAAAGGCGGGATTGAACGCTCGGAGATTATAAAAGTTGACGAAAACAATGGACTGCTCTTACAAACGGTGGAGGTAAGTAATATTACTTAAGAATCAAAGTTTCATGTGGAAAAAATATAAAAAGTCGAGATCATGGCACGACTTCACAGTTTTACAATTCGTTCTCCACAGCTTCCACACAAAACGCTCTCAGTGGACTTCATTGCGAAGGGCAAAGGCGCTGCTTTAGTGCAAATCGCCTACCAGTATAATGTGCTCGAGAAGGACCCTCAACCAAGTTTTGAAATAAAAACCATAATCAATAAGAACACGCCAGTCTTAAAATTAGAAATGGATGCCTGCATTGAATATACCGGTGAGGGCGATGCTTCGAATATGGCGATTTTAGAAGTGACACTACCTTCCGGTTATGTGGCCGATACGGACGCTTTCAAACATATCGAAGCCGTGCCAAGAGTCAGGGTAATAGCTTAAAACAAACCGATTTTTTATAAATAAAAACTAAAAATTAATTGCAGCAAGTGGAGACTCAGAAATCGGACACTCTGATTAACATCTACTTCGAGAGTCTGCCAAAGAGCGAAATTCAATGTGTGCCCATCGAAGCACTGCGCCAGTTTGCTGTTGCTCGTCAGAAACCCGCTTCAATTGTGCTCTATGATTATTATGATACTTTGAAACGGGCAACGGTATATTACGAAGTCGTCTCTAAGTTGTGCGATATTTGTGAGGACGATGAAGAATGCAAGAAGGCATGTCAGTGAAGGCAGTGAGCTTTTGTGAGAAGAATAATAATGCTACAAGAGAATACATTATATACATTTACTAAACTATAATAAAATTACAAAACAGCGATGTAATTATTACTTTTTGGATTCAAAATTTATCTGCTATTTGAAGGTATCCAATCTTAGAAAGTATCTGTTTTCCGTTTTCGGGAACAGTTAAAATGTTTTGAGCTACGCAAGTAAACGAGCGGTATAAAACCTGCGGTTTGGAACGTGAGTGCATAAAAAGCTTGCATGGTGCAAGTTTTCGGTCCCTTGAATGGTGCTTAGAAGGATTTGAGTGATATCAGGGCTTCATAACATATCTTATGGATCGACTCATAAGATAGAAATAAATTGAGGCATGCACCGCGACCTAACGTGCTTTGTGCCCTACCCTCTATCACAACTAATCACACTGGAATTTGCTGGAATGCTGGGCCTAGCACACTGATAAATTCCAGTACCTGCCTACAGACTGATGTGTAGTTTAGCATCAGAAGCTCGAGAGTTTTCGGCTCCTGCGACATGGAACCGGTAGTAAACGCAATAGGCAATACCCATGTTTACTGGGTGCTTTTTGAGCCATAGAGAGGTTGGCGTATACCTGTAAGTTGTAGCCAATAATATTTCCTGCCTACTGTCTCCTCCTTGTGGAACAACTCCTTTATGGTATGGAAGTAACAACAAGACAGGGTTCCGGTTGTTCCATACTGGAGGTAGCTGCAGAGCGGGAAAGCTCGTCAGCCAGTTAATTTTCGGCTACACCGTTATGACCAGGCACCCAGATAAGGTGCACTTGGTAGCGAACTGATAGGATATTCGGCCATTTTATACACTCCTGCAGCAATAGCGATTTAATCTCGTAAGCTGAGATAGCCATAAGTGCCGCTTGACTATCGCTAAGTATGGCAATACTTTATTTGCGATAGTTGCGTTATAGGTTTATCTAGGTTTGATAAGTTTGATATGCGGTCCTGCGACACCTGCAACAATGCCTTCCGACGTTTTCCAGCCGTCAGCGTGTCCCTTAATAGTGCTGTCCCTTTACAATAACTCAAGGGTGGAGTTACTCTACTCAGCCTTATTGCCTAGGGGAACTCTAAGCTTCCTTGTGAAGTTTATGCTTTTATTAATGCTGTCTCTCGGGAGAAGAGCCAGTAGTTTTACATCACATAAGAAACATTTGTTGATATAGACTCATGCCGAACTCCTCGAAGTTGTGGAAAATGTAAACCGAGTAGATGTCGCAGAAAAGAGTTGCTTGCCAGTAAAACAATTAATTTTCGCACAAGTTTTTTTCTATTAAAGCTTTCGGGATTCCCAAACGGCTTTTCCGCTCTATGGAAAGTGCTTTGGTAATCGCGGAAAAAACTTAAGAAGTAACGGGCAGTAGAGTCTACGGAAAAATTTAGTGAAGAGCTTACCTAACCCTTCAAACAATGTTCACTTAAAAAGTAGTAGTAGATTTTCATCAATTCCTTTAGCAACGAGAATAAATCACCGCAGCAATAAATTCCTTAAAGTTTCACAGCAGGCCATAATTTATGTATAATGTACCATAATTAAAATTGGCTATCTGCTGCTTCATTATCTTCACAAATTAACAACTGTCGCACATATGGTTTTCTCTAAAACTCCCCACACATATATATATATATAAAGTATATATATTCGTGAGGAATCAAATTATTGTTGTGAAATTTGTCATCTGAGATTTTAGGTTAGATAATTTGAGCTGAATCATAACATATGTGACATGTTGCTCACTTATTAGTACATTGTTTAAACGTATATGATTTCCACATGCATTTTTAATAAAAATGTTTTTAATTTTCTTTCAGCTCAACAAGCGCACAAATTTTATAAATTTAAAAACATAAAACGCATATATTTTTTGATTAACGCTTTCAATTTTACCATTGAGATCCTGAACCAAATGCATTTTTAAATTTAAAATGCCTCATAAAAAATATTAGCTTAACTTTTTAACCTTATAAATGTAGATTAAAAGCATATTTTACACACCGACTGTACGGTGGTCATTATATTTTAAGCCGAAAACCTAAATTTGTGCTTGAGTTTTAATTAAAAATTCATGCAAATCATAAATGTCATTGAGTTCGGCTCAACACCTCGCTGCAACTCTTTGCAAGCGACTACAAAAGCCATTGAAATATATCTATATATATATATATATATATACACACATGCGGACCGCTGTTTATTCTTTACAAATTATGTGAATTTATATATCAAGTCACATTTTAAAATGTACACACACCCGTACTCACACCAATACAACGCAACATCATTCATATTTCGTGCTTCCAAAGCAATTTATTCTGTTTGAATATTTAACATTTTTCTTTTCACCCACAGCAGTCATTACAAATTTTGGTGTGGCAACAAAACGCTTCTCCACACCACTTTACCGAATTATCATTGTTAAAATTGGACACCCATGGCGCTTATATATAATATGTACTATTATATATATATATACTATATATATTTGGGGTCGTATGCGTCATTTGCGTGCAAGTATTTAAGAGGCACAACAAAAATACAAGATCTGGCGACAACAGCGATAATTGCAGGGCTTTAATTGGTTCAGTCGCGTGTTGCATGCGACATACATTGGTCTTTATGTAACGGCATATAAATGCGAATAATTTTAACGGTGTGAAAACGCTTTAACGAGGGTTCGTTGATGAAAGCTTGAACAAGGCGTGATTAATTATAAAACATATTCTGAACAATAATGCGCATGTGTGTCTGAGAAACCCCATTTCAAGCAAAAATATTAACCGTTTTAAGTACTCGTCGCAATGCAACATTGTCAAATGAAAATTATCATGCGACGTTGAGGTAGGAATAAGTCAACGGCAGATGGTGACAGTTATTTTGCTTTTGCAGAAATAAATGATTTTGAACCACTGATTTATGGGCATCCAACTTAGCTTTCTCATTATATTGCATATTAAAATATAATATGTTATGTATTTAACTTGCTATGTAAGGTGTTCTACCTAATTTACCTGGACAAATATCATAGAGGCGTAGAAAGATTGCCGCCTTTTCACTGGAAGAAGTAACTTTAATGCATAGAGTACGTAGATAAAAGCAAAGCTAATGACAATCTGCGTACCAATACCAACACCATTATCAACACTAATCAATTACTGATACTGTACTGATGTCAGTATCAATATCAGTATCAATACTAATAACAATACCAATACAAATTCCAGTACCAATACCAATAGCGATAGAAATAGCAATACCAATACTAATATTTACATCAACACCAATATCAATGCCAATACCAATACCAACACCAATGCCGATAACAATACCAGTCCCAGTACCAAAATCAAGACCAATATCACTGTCAATATCAATACTAATACTAATACTAATACCAATATCAGTACCAATGCCAATACCAATAGCAATACCAATACCATTACCAATACCTACAAAAACAACCAATACTAATACCAATAGCAATACAAATTCCAGTACCAATATCAATACCAATAGCGATACCAATAGCAATACCAATACTAATACCAATACTAATATCAACATCAACACCAATATCAATGCCAATACCAATACCAACACCAATGCCAATAACAATACCAGTCGCAGTACTAAGATCAAGACCAATATCACTATCAATATCAATACTAATACTAATACCAATATCAGTACCAATGCCAATACCAATAGCAATACCAATACCAACAAAAAAAACCAATACTAATACCAATACCACTAACATTACCAATACCACTAGCAATACCAATATCAACAGCAATACCAAAACTATTACCAATACCAATACTAATACAGCAACAGTACCAATACCAACACCAATGCCAATAACAATACCAGTACCAGCACTAAAATCAAAACCACATAAAAGTTTATATCAGTAACAATACAACTACCAATACCATAACCAGTACCAGTACCAATACCAATATCGTAACTGATATCAGTACCATTACTGTTACCATTACCCATAACTTTACTTTTGTTAATATATTTCTATGAGCTACAAGAAAGTACGTAAACAAAAGTTATCGCGACTTCGCCACTCATTTTGTCTTCGTTAATGCAAAATGATACTTTCGTTTCACTTTCTTCTCCTCCCGTTAACCAAATACCAACTACAAGTTGATGTTTCCATTTTGGTAAAAAATCGCAACACTCGAAGACACAGCTTCACTAATTTGTCTTCTGCTCTCGCGCTCAACACCACCAGCCATTCATTGCTGCTGTCAGCTTCTTCTCCCGCTTCACTCCACCAACAAAGTGCACTTATAGCACAAGGAAGCAAAAACAAACAAAAACGTTTGTGAGTTGGCTGTAAATAATTAATTTGTCTGACATTCAACAGCGTCACCGCCGCTTTTCAAAGCTTAAAATATGCAACACTGCCACTTCAGTTCGAGGCCAATTTTTTGCTGACGCTTCTTTTGCACTAGCCAAGGCAGTATTTTTCGACTGTTTTCCTCGTCGATCGTTTTTCTTCCGCTTTTTTTTCCACTGAATTGTATTTAATGCTAACTTCCGGCAAGAAGACAAATAATATAAAGAAACGCCTGACTTTTCGGCTGGTGTAAGAAGCGGGAAAGGGAGATGGTGTAAAAGCGAGACTGCACCGCCGCCAATTCAATTTTTGCTGTCGACAATAACAACGATTGTGTATGTGTAAACTTGGCGTTGTGCCCGTGTAAAAGCTACAAAAGCAACAATAGCAGCAAACTACCGACGTTTAACGCTTGCGTGTATGTGTGTGTGTGGGAGAGTAAAGCAGTTGTGTGCCACAGCCGCCGCAGCGCACTTATAATAAACGAGCATACTTCTTGGCGCGCCGCAATTTAGTAGCGCACATATTTTCACTCCTGCACCAGCGTCGGCACACACTCCTGTACACGCCTGTACACCTTGTATCTTTGAACTCTAGTGTACCTCAACAAAGTGGCACTCACACACACACACAAGCAAACAAGCTGCATTGTGGCGAGGTGATCTGAGCACGCTCACACTTCCGCCGCTGCTGCCTCAACACTTAACTG